TAATCACCAGGTCCTTATGCTTAGGGAACATCAGACAAGAGCAAGCACTAATTTCACATTTATTTTCTTGGACCATCCTCCAGTTTCAACTTGTTTATATTTTTTCTTTTGTCCCCCAACCCCCCCATGTTTTCGTTTAATGTTCCTTTATATGCAACACAAATCCAATGGCTCAGATTAAATGGAATGGCTGACCATACATCAAATATATACCAATACCATATACATGATCATCACAAAAGAATAATTTAAGTTTTCCTGTGACAAAACCACAACTCTTCTGCAGGCAAGTTGCAAATTATAGCCTTCAATTCCAAAATAAAACCTCCAATGAAAATGGAAATTTTTTAAAGCATATATACTCTTCAACTAATTATAGGGTTTCCTTAACCAAGTGTACATGCTGGGGACCCACTCTGAGACTTCTACCATACTGAAAGTTTGTAAAAAAAAAAAAAATTTTGTTGAATTTCTCAATGGCAAATATATGCAATTTTATATATTATCTTCGTATATATAGCAAACAAATCATTTTTTAGAATTGGAATCCGAAACTTTCATATCATCTTGCCTATTTAAAAAGATTTAGATGAATTTAATTATAGAATGTACTTTTGGATATTATAAGAGCCTTCCAATTGAGTTTTTAATTTGACTTAAATACATAAATTGACTAATTCTTGACCAGCCAGCATATTGGTTTACAGGTGGTTTTTTTTTTTTTATTTATCTATTTAATCATTCAAAACTTTTTACTATAGTTTTTGGAAAGGGCACTAGTAGTTTGATGTGGAAGCTGCAGCAGCAGCATAATGATTTCACACAAAAAGCTTTAATAATCCAACACATGCACGTGAAATTTGAAATTATAGCCAACATATGATCCCATTATGTACAATGAAAATCACATGTAAGGGGAAACACTTAGCTGATATGACACAAAAAAAATTTGTTTTAGAATGCTTCCAGGGCAAGAGCACTCCCCTATATTACAGACAAATCATGCTTTTCTCTTGTCTTCAAACAATCTTATCAAGTTGATTTTGTTTTTCCACTTTCAAACACAGTTTATCTTTAATTTCCCACTTTTTAAAGTTAATAATCTTCTAACTTTTCTAACTAAAACATGTAGATTGACATTATGTTTTATATATAGCAGCTGGATATGATCACATGTCAAATGACAGTTGCTGTCAGAACTTCATCCTCGTATAATTGTGGTTAAAAAAAGTGTACTCTAGATAGACTCCGATCTTGAACTAGATGAACCTAGCTATAGGATCATGCTTTCTACAAAGAAGAAAAAAAAAAAAAAAAGCCTGGAAAGCTACTATACTTCCACTTCCAAGCAACAGTAGAAAAGATACTACCTGATATAGAAGTACGATTAGAGACCAGGTTGGCAATCAAGTTTATTTGATATAGACATGAATTCAATACATGATAGTTTTAGTAAGCATAGTTTTTGTTTTTTTTCATTATATTATCTCGTTTTACTCTTGTTCCATTACACTTTTGGGGTGGAAAATGAAGAAATATATTAGAAAAGTAAGATGCATGGCTGCTGAGTAAATAAACATTATCCTTGAAGTAGGTAGAACAAGTTGGTGCTATATATTTGATTCTTCTCCATGTTTTCATTTTTTATTGTGTTTGATATATCTAGTCACTGTGAAACCAATTTGCTACGGAGAAAATATGTGAATGTATGTAATAAGAAGGGAGTATAAAAGCACAGGAAATGTAAAGGGGAAGAGGATCACGCCGACAAAGCCAAAAGCTAAAGGGAAAATAGGATATTTTGGTGAGATGAGAGAGCGATGTGAAAGGGCCAAGAGATGATGTGGGTGGGTCAATGGCTGTGTCAGCCGACAGCAAGAATCCTTAGAGTAAAGAAAGAGAAGTGAGGCTGAGGGAGGGTACAATCCCTACAGCTACCCCTACTCTCAGTGCCCCTCGTGCGGCCCTCACTCTTTGGTCCCACTTTCCCTGCCGTTTTTAGTCCTTCTTGGTCATTGCATTTGCTTTGCACACCTCCCCCCATCAAATTCAATATTCATGACCTAATTTCATCAACTCAACACTACCATATCAACGCTTTCATCAACGTTTTATAATTTCCTATAAAAAAATTCAAATGCACTCATGTTTTGACCATTTATGAAAAAAAAAAAAAAACAATTTCACACATTAACACATTGTTACAAGTTGATTGAATGCCCACATTGTCAAGAAAAAATCAAAATGAAATTCTGAATTTGAAAGTGAAATATCAAGAAGTTCCATGGGCTACCTCGAGACATATATTTTCACCATTGTTGGTAGCTAACTTCACCAAAAAGACCCGAAGTTGAAAGATGTGATAGGGCACCAAAATATGGAAAGAAAAATGCTACTGCTACTTCTACTACTACGTGTCTACGACTAGGACTATGGAAATTCAAAGAAAGGAGGGGACACCCATAAATGAGCAGAGTCAACACGTGCATATCTGACAATATTGAAATACAGGGGAAGGGGTTTTGTTGTTTTTGTTTTTGTGTTTACCATGGCATGGGATTGGAATTTACTACTACTGCTACTGCAGCAGTAGTACTGCTGCTGCTGCTGCTAGCCGAATTCAATCGAATCAATAGCAGAAAGCAGCGGCATACAAGTTGTTTCTGTGCAGTAGCCTTTCAAGACTTTCCACATGGAGATGCACGTGTGGGTAAACACCAAAGAAACAAAGAAAAAGGGAATCGGAGGAAGAAATCAAACAGTGCTGCGTGGTGGTTATCGTGGCAAAAAGAAAAGAGAGTGGTCCTCCAATCTTTTTCTTCCCTTTTCGTTTTATCTCTTTTTAGGTTATCTTCTCCAACCACTTGTCAGGTGTCCCATAATTTACATTCTTGTGGGAATTGGGCTATCTAGGAGGGTTTCTCTTCGCCCTATTGATTTTTTTTATCTCTGATCCGTCCTCCATAATCCATCACAACAGCTTGATCACACCATTTTCAATATGATTACAAGTTTTTTACATATAATATCATCTTGTTTTCAATTTATAGTAAGAAAGCAGCATCTTTTACGGATATATGAAGTCATATACACAACTTGATAATATATTTAGCACATCCAATTTGAGTTCAAAGGACATGGCAATACAATGGATTTGGAGGATGCATGGGTTTACTATAGGTTTAGTATAATTTGCGGAAAAAAGGAGTAAAGTGGTGGGGTATAATTATAAAGGTATGCCCCTAGATAGGAATGGTATCTTCATGTATGATATGATATGATGTGCTCTCATCACCATTATTGCTAGTATTTGGTACATGATATGATTTGATATACGTTTTTGTTACTATTATGCTAATTATCTCAAATGCATTTGATGAGTATTGACAACAACTCATGTCCCCTCAACATAGAAAAATCGAGGCTGTGTTTGGGTTTTTGGATTGAAAATTGAAGATTGAGTTGTTTCAACATTTTCATTAAATTTAAAATTTAATTTAATTGATTTATACAATTATTTTTAAAAAGTGATATCGAAATCTATTCAAAAATTAGATCACTTGTCTAAACTCGAAAGTCTATCTAAATTTTAAAAAAATTTAGATAAAAAATTAAAATTTGTTGAATAAGTTTACACATATTTTAAATTCGTTTACATTTTGAGTTGAATTTTGAATAAAAAATTTAAAATCTGAAATTGGCTTAAATTCACATATATATAAATTTTTTATTTTTATATATATGTCAATTATATATAAATTAATTTACATATGTATAAAAATAAAAAATAAAAAATATATAATTTATTAAATTTAATATTTACTTTTATATGATTTTTATTTTTAATTTTTATATATAATTTATATTTATATTTATATATATATATGAATTGAATATAAACATATTAAATTTAATTTAATCATTTTTTAATTTTTTATTATTAAATTAAATTTAATGGATAGATTTAAAATTTATTTTTTAATTTGAATCGAACTTAAAAAAATTTGAAATCCAAAATTTTGAAATAATATTATTCAAGGCAACCAAACAAGCAAAGTACCCATTGCCAAAGCATCCAAGCGATTTTGATGTTATTTTTCCAAGAAGGGGGGGGAGATTTGGGGTCACACTATTGTAGGACTTGACAACCGACATGGAGTTATAATCAAAAATTGCAAAGACCAAACACCAAAGAAGCCTAGAGTGCAAGGACAATGATGCCACATTAATTATTACAAGTTAATCTCCATTTTCTCATGTGGGGTTGTCTCCCATCAAGTGGCTTAGTCTAATCAACAATTGCCACCCACGTCTATCTTATCTTATCAAAATATATTTCAATGCCTTTGTTTCGAGGAACATGACCCCTTTTCCCCTGCACCGGGCCATCCCTAACTTGGCTTGGGCTGGTTTTTGTTGAGTCTAGTTGGTGGCTAACTAGATTTGAGGAACAAGGCCCAAGTTTTGCATCCATATACCGAGACAAGGTTTTTCCATTACTACCAACCCTAAACAGTATAAGAAAAATTATATATCATGATGTAATTCTCGATGATTGACAAGCTTGATGGAGATTAAATTGGAAAGTATGTCAGATTTATGATAGAGAAAAAAAATTAGTACATATCAGAGCTAACATTTGAAGGTATGTTTTGATATTCAAGTCAGTAAGATATATATTAGATAACGAGAGAAATAAGAAAAAAAAAAAAAAAGAGAGAAAAGGGAAAGAAAATATAAAATACAAAATAATATATATTTGATTTGGTTTTCATTTTATATCTCATCGATATTGAGATGGTTACATGTTGTCAGCTACTATAAATTTTTCTAAATGATACTTACGAATATTATCAATAAATCAATAATGATGAACTCGTAATTTTAATGCTCAAATTCAATCCCTGATGATCACAATCTTGATTGCACTTTTTTCTTTCTATTTATGTTTTAAGATATCTTAATATAATTTAAACTCAAACTGAAAGATGCCACAACCATAAAAGTAAACCTAAAGCTTACATTGAAGTTGAATCTTGTAAAAACTTTCAGTTCCAGAATGACAAACACCTGCTTTTTGAACTCCAAGGGGTAGCCAGGCAAGGCTCCCTTTGGCTCAACAGTTGTTGCCAAGGAGCTTTTACAACATACAGTCAATATAATACAACATAAATTAAAAGGATAAATTGCCACCATAAACTAAGCAAACAAAGATGAAGGAAATTTAACTGTAAAGGTCATCTTCATCAGCTCCTGCAGCAGAAGCCGCAAAAGGATCAGATGCTGCAGCCCTGGAGCCAGTTTCAGCAAACCTAAATTCACTGCCAAATCCCCTTGACTGCTGCAAGGTTTGAGCAAATGCCTGGTATTTGCGTATGTCAGCATCACTCACACTCCTACGAGCAAACTTCATTGATTCCTCAAAATGCGCAGGCTTGATTTCTGCCACTTCATCCTCGACATCTTCCTCCATAGCTTCAGGGTTCTCCCTTCTTCTCCTTTCTCTTTCAATATCCTGAAAACATAAAGATATCTCATGTCACCATTTCAATCATTGTTAAAAACATAATTTATTCCTTCATCTCCTGCACAGAAAATAAATTAATGTGGGAGAAAATAGACATAATCATACCTTTTCAATGTTTTCTCTGATAGCATATTTACATGCACGCTGACAAATTTCTGTAATATCAGCCCCACTAAAGCCTTGAGTATATTTGGCAAGAGCCCTGAGGTCAACCTCTTTTGCAACTGGGGATTTCCTCAAGCAAGCCTTAAAGATCTGATGGCGAGATTCCTCATCAGGAAGGGGAATATAGATCAACTGATCCAGTCGACCAGGCCGCAAAAGTGCAGGATCTATAATGTCAGGTCGGTTGGTGGCTCCAATGATGAAAACGGTTTTCTTGGCAGACATGCCATCCATCTCAGTAAGAAGTTGGTTCAAAACCCTATCAGCAGCACCCCCTGCATCACCTACACTGCTTCCTCTCTGCAATATATAAACATGAATCATCATTACACAAAGTGCAAGCCAAAGAACACCAACACAAGCATAATTTCATTGGTAGAATAATCCACGCACAGAAAGTAAGAAACCAACATGCTCTGCTGCTAAAAGTTAATCCATAAAGATAATTAATTAGCCTTGAACATACCTGGGTAGCAATTGAATCAAGTTCATCAAAGAACAGGACACAAGGAGCAGACTGGCGAGCCTTGTCAAAAATTTCACGAACATTGGCCTCACTCTCACCAAACCACATTGTAAGTAATTCTGGACCCTTGACACTAATGAAGTTTGCCTGACATTCGTTGGCAATGGCTTTGGCCAGAAGAGTTTTACCACATCCTGGAGGGCCATAGAATAGTACTCCCTTTGAGGGAGACATCCCAAACTTCTCAAATTTCTCAGGATGCTCCACTGGATACTGAACAGTCTGCATGCCAAAGTAACAAATTAATCCCCTTTTTTTTTTAATTTAAAAAGATAAAAAAGGAAAGAAATTTGGGAAGTAATCAAAACTAGTAAACACTATTACCTCTTGAAGCTCTCTTTTAACATTCTCTAGGCCTCCAATATCTTCCCAACTGACATTGGGCACTTCAACAACCTGACCAAGAGCAAGAAAAAATTTATTGGAAACAGAACCGACCCCAAAAAATCATAATCAGCAATGAATCTGTTCATCAGTAGCAGTATCTTCATTATACTCACAGTTTCACGCAGAGCTGATGGATTGCTTGTTCCAAGAGCAGTCTGGAAGTGCTCATTAGTGACAGCCATAGAGTTGAGTATCTCTGCATCTATCGAATCATCTTCCAAGTCAATCACATCCATCTTTTCCCTGATGCACTGTAATGCTGCCTCGGTACAGAGAGCTGCAAGATCAGCACCAACATAACCATGGGTGTCCTTGGCAATTTTCTCTAAATCAACCTGTGATAAGTCGGGAAAGTAAATTAGATTCAGTACTTTTTTAGACCGGAGAAAGAGATAAAGATTTTTGAGGAAAGAAAATAAGTTTTAGTTTTTAGACATTACATCTTCAGCCAGCTTCATGTTCTTTGTGTGGATACGAAGCACCTCAAGACGGCCAACTTCATCTGGGACACCAATGTCAATCTCCCTATCAAATCTTCCAAACCTTCTGAGAGCCGGATCAATGCTATTGGGACGATTTGTGGCCCCGATAACAATAACATGTGCACGGGATTTGAGCCCATCCATCAATGTCAACAGCTGAGAGACAATCCTCCTCTCAACTTCACCATGGGTCTTCTCTCGCTTCGGAGCAATCGAATCAAGTTCATCAATGAATATGATAGATGGTGCATTCTTCTCGGCTTCCTCAAATGCTTTTCTGAGATTGCTTTCACTCTCTCCAGCCAATTTTGACATGATCTCCGGACCATTGATGCAGAAAAAGAAAGCACCAGTTTCATTTGCAACAGCACGGGCAATCAAAGTCTTACCAGATCCAGGAGGTCCATAAAGCAAAATTCCTTTAGGTGGCTTCACACCAATTGACTTGAAGAGCTGTGGGTGCCTCAAAGGAAGCTCCACTAATTCTCGAATTTGAGCCATCTGTTTTCTCACTCCACCAACATCATCATAACCTACCTCATCTAATCTATTCTCATCCTCCCTCCTTACGGGCTCTCCCTCACAGAATATCTCAGTGTCTGGTGCGACCACACAGTACTCAGAAGGGTCAGTCTCAATAACCTTGAATTCTACACTTCTCATTCCACCTCTCACAAGGAAGAGATCACCCTTCCTTACTGGGCGGTATGCTTCCAGAAAGTAAGCTGTAAATGCAAAATTATCATAGTCAGTATTTATGGACAATATTGTCAATAATTCAACATTAAATCCAATCCTCATAATGTTAATAGGTATTTATTATCATCATATGATAAATGATAGAGGAGAGTTTGGTTATAATGCACACATGTCCATGCATATAATTGAGCCACCTAGGATGCAGGCATGAATCCACCCCAGATGTACAGGTAAATCGATATAAAGACAGCAAAAGACACTAAAACACAGAAAAAGCAGCCTATAAAGTATTTTTAACATCAGACATGTATATACAAAGAAAGAAAAACAAACTCCTTGAAAGCATAAGCCTGTGAATATATGCCTTTAAAAATACGGGAAGTCTACTCCATAAGGTTAAAAATATGGTATTCAATCAATCAATTATAGTCTTATTTATATTAATCAATCAATGAATGAGCTTATGATTGATTAACAATAATATATTATTGTCTTATCCTATGATTGATTAACAAACAAAGAAACTATTTTACCTCTTAACCTGCCTAGGAAACCAAAACTGCCATAAATAAATTATTAAAGACCATTCCATATATAAGTTGGGAATAAAAGATTAAGAAAAAACTCACGTTTAAGGTAAGCATCAAAGAGATTTCCAGTAACCCCCTCAATTGTGTCATCCACAGGCAAGATGTGCACACGTTTTCCATACTTAACATCAGGACACTGATGCACAGAGACAACATCACCAAGCCTAACCCTCAAGTTTGACCTGACAACCTTATTCATCCTGATCTTTGGTTCATCACATGTGTCGTCTGCAAGAGCAATGCAGATAGTATCTTTCCTCTTCTTTCCCTGTGGACCAAAAGAACAATACAAAGGACATTATAGCAAGATATAAGCTTAAAGACATTGAAATTTCAAATTTATAAGAACTGCAATTCCAGTAACTATTCATGCCACATAACAAGCAAGCTTCAATCCCACAATGTCCTCCAAACTAATATTGCATAAAGAAACAATCTTCACAGACAAGCTTAGCAAGTTAGCCTCCTTACCTAAAAAAATTAACAGATGCTATAGAAACAACATTGGCCCTCAACAAAAAAATCATGTAAAACATCCAACCTACCACAAGATAGATCCAAACCGAAGATCCATTCAGAACAGCATAGAAAACCCATGGGATCCATCAAATAAAACCCTCAAATATCAAACAAGCTAGAGAAAATTAAACCCTAAAACACAACAAACAGCTAGCATAAACAAATACCCATTAAGCAAAAATTAAAAAAAAAAAAAAACTAAAAGAACCCAATAAGAATGGCAATAAATAAAAGCCAAATCTAAAGTAGACACCTTGATCAGGATCGTGTCACCGCGAAACAGCTGGAGCTTTTCCATCGTATCAGGATGAAGAGAAACAACAGAGTTATCATCGTTGGTTGCCTCATCGACAACAAGCCGATTCGGTGCCTTCTTTCGTTCCAAGATCGCCGTACTAAAATCCCTCTTGGTCCCCTTCCTGAAAGACAAAACGAGAATCAGCATAGCGAAATCTAAAACAAACCCATTGAAGAAAAGGTAAAAGAGAGATCTGGGTAATTACGAGTCAGAGGATTCAGCTTGGTTAGACATGGTTTTGCCTGATGAAAAACTCGAAAAAAAAAGCAGAAGAACTTCCGGGGCTTGGTTTGGTTAACTCGGATTGTTGAATGCGTGGGATATGAAGAACAGAGGGGTTGATAAAAGGAAGGGAAGCTCCGTTTCTTGTGAGGAAAGAAATTGCAAATTATATTAGTGAAAATATCAAAACCCGTAAAACCAAGATTAAAAATTCATTAAAATTAATAAAATATATAATAAGATATTAGGGATCCATTATTTTGGGATTTATACCAAAAAAAAAAGTCTGATTCTCTAGAATGTTCCATGCTCCAAATGTGAAAATTTATGCTTCTCTAATCCCAACAAATATTGGGTTCTTGAGAAAGCCATTGATAGTCTCACCATTGGTTACCAATCCTCCTATCTAAGATAAGCTATGGGAAAATTGGATGTGGTCCATTTCCCCATTTCCCCAATCCTAGCAGCCCATTTTTATTTGAAATTTGCAGAGATTAAATTTTGATAATTAAAATTAAAATTTTATTATTTTATTAGTAAACCTAATAATTATTAATTTAGTAATTTATTTTATTATTATATCATAGCCTTTAACGTAGAATATAAAAACATCAAAGTTTGAAAGCTAATAATGCTTTAAAAACACTTATTAAAATAAGTTTTATTTATTTTCACTCATTTTATGGTGTTTTTTTTTTATTTGTGGTATTTTTATAAAGAAAAAAGGGTGCAAATTCCATATTTTCACCAAGCTTGAAACAAGAAATTAAATTATACTAATTAGAAGGAGAAGTAAAAGTGGTCGAGTTCAAATTAAGGATGATAATGAATACTAAATAAATAGATATTCATTATTATTAAACTCATTTATATTATATTTAAATATTTATAAATAATTAATTAATTGGTTAGGATAAAAGATTTATTAACTAAAACAGATTTGAAGCGTACATGAATAATATTTTTTAGATATCAAATATTCGAATATATTTAAATTTTAATAAATAGTAATGAAAATCTGAATTCATATTCAAATTTGTTATCCGTTTATATATAAAAAATATATAAAATTTTATATTTATAGAAGGTTTCGGATTATAAAAATTAATTTTTATTTATTATTAAATAAGAGTGAACTTAAATTTTAAATTAAATTTTTATTTATTTTATAAAAAAACAAAATTTTAAATAAATAATTTATCATATTTAAATATTTAAATGAATAGTATTTATTTAAATTGATTTAAATTTAGATAATGATACTAAACTTAAACAAATATTTAAATAAATTTAAATATTATAAATATTAAATAGAATCGGATATAAATATCTAAAAATAACAGATACCCTTTCGTTGCCATTTTTAATTCAAACCGATATTTCAGCTGGACCATAACAAGCCCAATTTAAAACCCACAACAGAAAAAATTCACAAATAAAATGAGAATCTTGCACGGAGGCCCAAATAAGATGAACAATGGGTTTGTGTCACAAAGAATTGAAAGATACGACACCGTGTCTATCAGAATAAAAAAATTTATATTCCAGTGTAGCATTAGAAACAAAAAAAATAGCACAAAAATTTGTGCTTTTTCATGGTTTTCTTGGTTTCTTCATCAGCAAAGTTGGATTTTATGATCTTCAATCACTGAGCCAAAGCATTTCCTTTAGAAATTGATATGAAGCTGAAGCATTAATAAGATCGAAGAAGCTTCATGGTGCTTTGATTAAGGACACTGATTGTATAATGTTTTGTCTTTTGTCTGTAGTTCTAACCTGTTTCATGCTGGGTATGGAGCAAATACTTTAAATTTTCCAATTTCTAGCAAGTGATTTTGAATTTGGCCTTAAAAAGGAATATAATCTCAAGTAATCTTACATAGCAGATATTATATTTGCAGAAGAAGGGAAGATTACTTTGACTGTCTCTGTTAACAGCAGAAGCAACTCCACATGCTTATTAATGGCTGCCCAAGACAGTTGCAGGCATTTTCTTATCAAAATTATCCTAGCCTAGATACTTTTGCTTTGATTTTGAAATTTGCGTAAAGAAACTGTCTAGTTTGAGTACGGATGGAATGATGCACTAGAAAGTTATAACACAACATAAAAATAATAAAATATATATATATATATATATATAAATTATGTAGTTTTAAAATTTTAGCAAAAATTAAATAAAAAAATATTTCGTATTTAGTATTTTAATATGAATTTTGATAAAAAAACCATAAAAGAGAAGCATATAAGAGATAATAGTTAGGTTGGATATTTTCCTTGAGCAAATTGAACCAAGAAGGACAACTGTGCAAGAAAAACGCCCTTTGCCAGATGCATGCACTGTCGTGGACAATTTATCCATGCATGCACATTTGAGGTGTATCTTATCCAGGCTCTTATAATCCAATATTGTTACGTATCATTCCAAAAGTTGCACTTATCCCCCACAATCCAAAATCCGACAGCCCCCATATGTAGTCCTTTCCCCTTTACCGCCACACTTTCTGTGTTATCTGGATGCAATTAGAATATACTAAACAAGCAGACGTGGCAATGTTTGCAACGACAATTGGCAGATTCAACAAACAAAACAGCATAGTGCAAAACATATCATCTGATGCAATAATGAAGTTTTGGAACCATAGAGATAATGAACTCACAATGTTTTTCCCCACGAGAATATGCAATGCTGCTTGAACTGAACATCTGCAAGTTTTGTGGACTACAATAACTAAACTAATGTGGTTTGCTTCTCATATGGGGGCTCAAGCGTTTCTAGTAGAAGACATGAAACCATAAAGAAAATGAAGCTTATCTAATGCGATTATCATGGTCGTCATCAAATCCTGTAACCGTGTCAACAAATTCTTTCCACAGCCTCAATCAGGGAGTCCTTTTCTTAACCTCACACGTAGGGTTGAGAGGAAGACCATGTGCATCACAATAAGTAATAATTGGCAGGGCGGGTTCGTTTCCTATTTATATCCAACAGAAGTTAACTTTACAGACAACAAAAATCCAAATAAGAGACGTCTTTAATTTAGGAAGAGGGAGACAAGCTCTGTGCAGAATTGCAGAAGGATATGGCTAAAAAGAAACAGAGAAAGTATAGCTTCAATTTCACGGCTAAGAATGCAATGAGACAGCCGATGAGCAGTTTCGTCTCCATTTTTTGCTGGCAAACCCAGGATGACAGAAGCACTAGAAGAGCAGGAAATTCAGGACCTTCCAAAAAGGGGCACTTCTCAGTTGTCGTGCTCCAACATGGCGAGCCCAAGAAATTCTTTGTTGCACTAAGATATCTAAGGTATCCACCATTTATCAAGTTATTAGATGCAGCAGAACGAGAATATGGCTTCAATCAAAAGGGTGCTTTAACCATCCCCTGTGAAGAAAGTGAACTTGAAAACATCTTATCACAAAAGCATAACTCATGGATTTACAATGGTATTGTAAAGACATCATTTTACAGGTTCGAAACAGTCTTTTCTATAGGCGTTACATTGGTATAGCTCTGTGCTTCATTCATTCATATTTGAAATGTGAATCTAAGGAAACAAGCAATCCTTCCTTTTCAACAATAGCAGATAAGTGCATGCAAAGGCCAAGAAACCAGGCACAGGGTGCAGGAAGCGCACATGCATCAATCTCATCTCTCTGTCACATATTCAATAGCTTCAAATCAATTTTCAGATGCCTAATTTGGCTTCGCTCTCTCTTTTTTTTCCCCTTTTGTTATAAAGCAAATCTTAAATAATTACTTTGCTGCAGCCTAAAATGGAGTGATCAACTGGAACTTCTTTTATCAATATTGAGCACAAAAATGATTTCACATCAAAGAGTTTCTTAAGAGCATAAATTCGTTCAAGTTGAAAAGATGATATCGTAAATGGATACAAATTACATGTCAGTGAAAGAATACAGTTCTTGAAACCGTAGGCAGAGAGTTTTCAGTGCATAATCCAAAAATAGAGGAACCTCATTTCCAAAGAATTACTTGAGACTAGAGCTACTGATACCAAAACAATTGCTCCCATGCCTCTAAATATTAGAGTTGGTCCCCAACAGTGTGATTACGAAACATCCATGCAAGTCCTCAGTTAGCATGAACATAAGATAAAGCATCCATGACCCACTAAAACGATTGATTACTAAAAATATTTATGAGATTTAAAGAAAGAACAACCTAAAATACAGTTTTAAGATTGGTTAAGCTCCATTGGATATTCTGTAGTTTGTCGAAGAATAAACTCCGCTCTCCTCTTCTTATCATCCCTCTCTTCGTCGCTTAAAAAGAGTGTTGTCCTCTTCTCACCCTTCTTCAGCAAGCTCAAATCTATGGACTGACCCAAGAGTTTCTTGCCAGTTCTGAAGTTGAAATGAACAGCAGGCCTTTTTTCGGGAAGGAGTGTCTTTTCACCATATAATTCATTTGATGGCCCATCTTTCATTGCTTCAATGGCAGAAGCAAATGCCTCTAGAACAGAAACATGATTGCCCTTGCTCACTTCATCAGAAAGCTTAGCTGGGAAAACAACCTGTGACATATCTTTCTCCCCAGGTTGCAGTGGGGCAACAAGAAAAGGGTTACTTCCAGCTTCGTGCATTTTTCCCTTTTTAGCATCCACAACCATGGAAGCCGAAGTTCCAGTAGAACCATTACACACCAGTCTCTGTTGCAAACTCAGCAAAGCCCTCTCAGCCTTTCTCCGCTGCCTTGCTTGCTCAATCTTATCAGCACAAGGATCCGATGCCCTCTCATTCCACATAGGAGTATGAATATAAGTGTGGGGGTCAGGGAAAGCCGGCAACCAACTTGGGATATGCTTTCCAGGCGGAGTTTCATTCATATGCTCAAAACTTGGAATCAGCTTCCTATGCCTAACAACTGGAAACTTAGGCACTGGCTGAGCAAATGGGATTTCCTCTTTGGAATCCACAAACTGAACCATTTCCCTAACTGTGCCAGAGCCTACAAGACAATTCCCAATCTCTGAAGCACCCGAAAATCCATGAGAAGCTCCCAAATCTTCTAAAGCCCGAGTTACATCAAACAGATTGCATTCCGTCCTACCAGCTAAATTAGCATGAAAACTTGCATTTTTTCCTAAGTCACAGAGGTATCCGATTGAGATGTCAGTAAGAGCCTCCAAAGCAGACTCTTTAAATCTCTCATAACCGACACTCTCACATATCTGTAACACCGCAATCTTTGAAACCGCTCTCCAAAAGTCATCAGCTTTCGGTCCTCCCAATGACAAACTACGCTGGTCTTCACTCTTCCTTGTATCTCTTGTACTCTCCACATCTCCATGGCTCATGTTCAAAACCTCATATCAAATTTTACAGATTTCCCCTCAAATTCTCACATTATCTTGTCTTTCATCCCATTAATCTCCAACTAATTACTCATATAAGAACTAGCCCTTACCCTCTATCTTGTCAATAGGAAAACTTATCGTTTTCTTAGAAGAAAAACCCAGGAACCAAACAAACCCAGTTTTTCTTTTTTTCTTTCTATATTTTCTCAGAAAACAAGTAAAAACAAAAAATAACAGCTGATTCCAAGAAGCCCTATAAACGGTTTAAACTTCTGCTTCTACAACAGAAAAAAAAAAGAATCAAATTTGTGGACAAAGAACAGAAATTGAAGCCTTACCAATCATCAAGAAGTTCAAATCAACTGGGAAAAAGAACAACTTCAGCTGGAATCGAAGAAACAGAGCCAAATTTTGAAGCGCACCAAACCCAAAACAAAACCCTAATAAAGACGTTAACTTTCCCAGTGGTTTTAAGTTTTCCAAAAAAGGGTAAGGAAAGTAGAAGAAAAATGAGGGAAATTTGAGAAACTGAACAAAAACCCTTATAAGACCCTAAAAAAGGAGCGGATCAAGCGAAATTCAAATTCGAAACAGGTGAGCGTTAGAGGCCGATGCAGTGGAAGTTCTATTTGGGGGTTAATTTATAGACCTCTACACCACGCTCTCCAGTATCATTTACTTACTACTCGCTTTCAATTCGGGCCTAGCAGGCCGGCCCAAGACTATATTTTCATTTTATTTGTTGTTTTTATGTTCCTATAAAAACTTGGCTTGTGGTTGCAGGAGAGCCGAAGAAGAGCTGAAGACGGAGTGAAAGAGAGAAGCTTTGGAAATGGAGAAGTACTTTGGCAATGCATATAGAGGGGACCCAGGAGTGCCGCATTCTGGTCCGGATCGGTTCGTCAATATATGGATCGGGTCGGTTGCTTTCTCCGTTATCACTTGGTTCAACCCTTACATATGGCAGCTCGCTAACCAATTCAAGTAATTTTTACTCCCTTTTATGTTTATTGGACAGTTTCATCTCCAAGCTGTGATTTTGATGTTTAATTTCCCCAAGTGGTTTATTTAGGATTTTGTGATTGTGGTTGTAGATTGAAATTATTGAAAATGGTTGAAATTTATTTGCATTAAAGTTTATATTATTATTTTTTATTTCAATATTATAAGTTGTGATTTTTAGTTTAATTATTAACAGTAGAAGGCAGATAATTTGTTGTTTCAATTAAGCTTATAGTCTGGTTTGAGGAATGGGTAGATTGTAGCATTTCTTCACTTTTGAAGTCTCAATTTCCCAGTTTTTGAGCAGTTGGCAAATGAACAAATTTTAGTGTTTAAGAGCTCCTATTGCTTATTTGCCAGCAGCTTTAGCAAGTTGGCTTTGTGCAAATTTCTCTTTCTTTTGGAATTTATAGCTATTTTCCTGACTAAATTGAGTTTGACATGTTTGGTTTATTGGTGGATTTTATAAAAAATTCCATTCTGAAGCTCTGGAATTGTTGTCCTCCTTAACTTCTCATACTTCTCTATAATATGCATGTATTTTGCCTCAGTAACTATGATCCACTTGAGGGCTGGTGCAAGGTACTTTTAATTTGTTTGTGATTTTGTAGCTATTCTTGTACCAGAACAATTTCATCAAACATGCTTATATCAATGTAAAATTTTTCAGTAAGAACTTGCCATATTTGTGTTAGTCTTGCCAACATGAATATTTGACATTTTAATCCATCTGCAGAAACCAATAGGTCTCTCAATCATTGTATTTATACGAGTTTTTTTTTTTTTTTCTTAAAGATATCTGTGTAAGCCCCTTCAGCTATGTGTTCTGCTACTTATTTTATGCATAGGTGCCTGCTTCTGCATTCTACTAATCTAGCCTTCAGTTATAAATTCCTCTTCAACCTCAATATCACAGGTCCAGATTTTTCTTTTTTTTTAATAGTTTGGAATATGTCAAATGACAAAGCAATGATATTTGAACACTACCATTGGAAGAAAGCAAAGGCAAAGAAACAACGATACAAAATTAAGGTATGTTGTTCGATATTTTAAGGTTTCTTTCTTGGATATCACAAACAACTATAAAAGCAAAGTCCTTTTAGAAGCGGACATAAAATGTTCTCATGAAACCTTCACTTTCTAGTCTTTTCAGTGGAATGAATACATGGACAAGGATCACAGGGACTCGTATTATTTCAACTGGCCTGTCTACTTCCCTTAGTTGTTCTTTTGTGTAGGCATGCTCTTTGATAAGTAGTTTGGACAAAGAGGATTGTTCCCGCTGAAAAGTTTGTGAACCATTATTGCTTCATCCTTTCTTTCCGACTGATTATGCTGTCTGGTGGATACGAAGTCTTTCTCTTTTATCAATCTTTCTCTATAAGTTTCTTGTTATGCTGTTGTGTGAAGCCTATCTTTCTCAAATCTGCAAATTCGATAATGCGGAATTTTTTTTTATATGGAAGAGGGTGAATGATTAGTGATTTTGTTGTTTAAACTATCAATAAGAACTGGGAACATGGGAGGGAGATTTTGTTGAATGCTAGGTTTAGAAAGTTTAGGTATCATACATACATATGAGTACAGTCTTAATAATACTTTTGAGTCCCAAAAAGTCTTAGCTATTTAGTCTAATTCTAATTACTTGGATATGAATCACACAAACTTGAATTTGAAAACAAAAAAATGGAGATAAATTGCCTTGAGTGTTGTAAAATATGCAAGTGAATTATGATGATTCAATGAAATATAAATACAAATATAAGCAGGAAAGGGAAAATTTTCCATCTTCTGTTGTTGATAATAACTTTTTGTTGCACTTAATTTAACCTCATTAAAACTTGAAATGGAAAAAGATTAGATCACATTCGAATCAATTTTGATTTTGGGGTACTTCGAGTTGACTTTCAACTCTCAAGTAATTGAGATTTTTTAAGTGGATTTAAGTTGAGTTGCGTTTCAGACATATCAGTCGGATCGTATCAGTGTTGTTAGCTTATAGCCTTTGCCACCTGTGTTGGTACATGTTCCTGAAGTAATCCAATCAGAAACCATTCCAAGATTCTTTTTTTTCGAGTTACTAGCATACCCTCAAAACCATCTACACCCGTTTACACTACTACTTATATGGTTGAAACAAACATTGCGCGCTTTAACTCTTTTAAACTTGCAATCACCGAGTGCTAACTCCAATGTAACGTTTAAGGACTGATCAAAGAACTACCATAAGACATAAGAATCTGTGACGCAAACTACACGATGAGACTCTTGGTAGGCAATGCAAGGTATACGTATAGCATTTCGTACCTAAAAGATGGCAGATAAAATGAAGGAGAAGTTCATTAGGGGACCATAGAGTGTAGTGCTTTTTACATGTGATGTTTTTGACATTGATAGCTCAGTTGCACCCCCCATTTTAGTTGAATGAAATGTGCCTTTGACATTCCACTTTCAGAACCTGCAAACACAATCTACTTAAAAGATTTACACTTCAACCCAAGTTAACTCTCAAAACCTGACCCTAATTCCTATCATAAGCACACAACTTAAATCCCTAATTTTTCCTAGCCCACCTCATAACTGTGTATCACATCATGACATTTGCATTAAACTCCACAATATAGACTCATGTTAAAATTATGGCCTTATGCTGGATAAAACATACAATATTAGCAACATTGCTAACAACATGGTTGCAAAATATATGAAAGAGCGAAATGAAACAACTATTGCACCATGGCTTGATGCATGCGGATGCATAATTCTATCATGAAGCTTCTATCACAATCATCAGAAGTTGGCCATCCCTAAGCACCTCATGAAATTGGAAAAAAAATGCTCAAATTGAGGAAACCACATTTAACATGTCTGGGGCAGAATAAATCATCACAACAGACAACAGAGATAAGGAAATTTAGTACGATGGTTACATCCATTTCATGGCAGACACAGTTCACAGATAATCACATGAATGAACAGAACAACTAAATGCAGGAAAGAAACAAGCACTATAGTAATCTCATTTTCACGGCTAACATAGTACACAACATACAACATGCTAGGAGAACAAAGAACATGCTTCAACCAGCACAAGTAAAGAAATGATTGACTACTTTTTTGGGACAAGTGTATATGGCAAAAATGGAAAAGATAAGCCATCACAAATATACATTCCTTTCAAAGCAAGTCAAGGCAAACTAGCTTTAAGGCTGGACAAAGAAATCCAGGTATATATGAAGAAACTATCAAAATATGAATTAGCATCTTGTGCAAAATTGTTCATGATTGAGAAAAAATTATATGAGCACACTTCCAAGGTCAGGCATGTATGGGATAACCAAGTTTAGCAAGCATACATAAAATTATACATGACTCATTTCTCCATTCACAGTCTTACATTGTCATTCTGTGAATTAAGGAACAGAATATTCATCAAACAAAATTCATTTAAATGGAAAAGGACCATTATAAAGCATACTTAAGAATTCATTAACATAAATACTAATTAACCATCAGTATTCACTACCACTCGGCAATTTTATTCCTTAGACAGCAAGACTATATAGAATGGGGTAATCTCTTTACATATAGTGTTATCAGACTGTTGGCTTCCTCTCAAATCCGGTGCCAGGATCATCATTGGAAGGGAAAACCTGAAGCCCAGTAACCATGGCAGCTGGTGGACCACGACGGCATCTCTGCTCCATCCCCTGAACAGAGTCCGGGCTCCCAGAGAAAAGAGCTTCCACTGAACCATCCCTCCTGTTCCTAACCCAACCTTTCAAGCACAGTTGAGTGGCATTCTCTATCGTCCAGTTCCTATAGAACACACCCTGAACCCTACCCTTTATGACAACCCGCACCTGCACCATCAAATTCCACAATCCATTACAATCAATATAGAAATAGAGATTTAAATACCTAAACTGCACAATCAAATCAAGAGAGGTCCATCACCTTCAAAATGTTAAACTTTCCAAGGTAACATCCAAAAGCCACTATATAAAAAAATAATAAACTGACATAAAACCCTAATTGGCACAAACTAAATTGATTAATATACAGAAAATTCCAAATATATGCCCATTATATATGCAAATTTGAATTTCCCAAAGGAACAACCAAAACCAATTATTAAAACCGAAGGAAGAGACTATAACCCTCATTAGCACAGACTAAAAATAAGTGCTTTATCCACCCATTATAGCACTTCTCTCACTAAACTGAAATTTCCAACTAAAACAACCAAAACCCAATACATAGACTAACCTTAAATTAAAATTCAACCTTGAAATCAGAGTTTGATCAAAGAAATCAATTTTTTTTTCAAAAACCCAGTATTCGAATAAGCATAATATTTCAATTATTCGTAACAAGAGACGTAGAGAAACTCACTGTTTTGGTTTGGGAAGGCTGAGGGGAGTCATTGGCAGCCTGAGGAGTAGCCATTGAAGTTAAAAGAGATCGAAGAGGATGAAAACTAAGTGGGAACAAAGAAGGAAGAGAAGGCTGAGAAAGAGAAAAACGAGAGCAAAGCGGAAAAGAAGGATGAAGAGAAGAAGGGTTAGAATAAGAGAGAAAGGGGAATCTATGAGCAGAATAACTCCTTGCATATTGGGAACATTTGTTGTGTAAAATAATCAAGATTCTTGATGTTCCGAAGTATGAGGAATCTGTTGTATGTATGCTTGATGATTTTTTTAGGTTAAGGCTGGCCTGGGTGGTTGGGCTGATGCCATTTTGGTTTTGACTATTTGAAATGTGTGGCTTTTATTGGTGGATATCATTGGTGAATTATGTGGCTTCCAACTCTAATAGATTTTTTTTCTGGCAAACTGACTACTATTTCTGGGCTGCTAATACAATAAAGAGTAACCATGGAGAAAGAATCCAAAGATTAGAGACACATAGCTGAAGTATTAAGCTGATTGATATATTTATAGAGAAGCAAAAGAAGATGGGGAACATACCATTTGGGGGTTAAAGAATTTATCAGCTTCAGGATTGTCCATAACTCACGAAGGCAGAGAAGGTCCAAAAGGATGTAAACAATGTCAGAGCAGATGGCAAAGAGGAGGATCAGGATGAAGAATACAAGCGTTACGCGTAAAAGAATGATGAAGAGGATGAATGCAATGATGGTTTGGAAGAAGAACAAGATAGGTGAATCTGAGATCAGCATTGTTTTTTGTTATCACCCTTTTGGTACAATGGAAGTTTTCAATGGTTAAAAGGCAGAAAGATTACCCAAGTTCTTGAGGTTTCTAGGATTCCTTAGTTAATGGACGACCAATGCATGATCAGTTCTCGAAGAACTCTTTCCGAAGCTTCTGAAGGCTTCTTTACAAATAAAAAGCAAAAGAAAAACCAATCCATACTCTACATTTGGCGAATCATTTAAAAAAAAAATCTTTCTATCATGCTGTTAAAGAGAGTAGGATAAGATAATTTCTCTTAATTTATAAGTACCAAATCCCCTGATATACCACCAGATCATCTCTAGTCTTGAACAATTTGCATTTACTGAAAAATGCATTCCAAAAGCCATATATTGCATCACATTTCAAAAGAAAATTCTCCCAATTTTTTTCTTTTTTTTGCTAAGCAACATCCCATATAGACCAGGCCCAATATCAAGCCATCAAAGAACTTGGGCTGTTTGTGTTTGGAGCTGAGGGTAAATCTGATTCTCATGGACCCAAGAAAGTTACTTTAATGAACCCAATTTGGATTCCGGCTGGCGGCTGCCATGGGCCTGCTAAAGTTTTCAACTTTCATGCATCAAAGCTCGTTATTGCTTTCTCTCTCTTTTTCCTTCTTTTGGGGCTAAAGTTAAAAAATGCGGAAAAGTCGATACTGAAAACTAAAATCAAGCAAATGCTCGTATTGTTTCCTCCTAATCGAAATTACAGATTCAAAGCTTTGATTGAAGATTCAAAGACACTTTCATATCAAGAGTTGAATATTTGCCAAAAGGTTAGACTAAAGAAAACTTGATGGAGTGCACGTGGGCTGTGAATAGAAACAAATACTGATTAAAACACTTTTTTGACCAGAAACCCAAGTTGAAAAAAAAAAAGGAAAATTTTAAGCTTTAATTTGGTAAAGAAGCACTATCAATATGTAATATTTATATACGATTATTGAATCAAATAATATTAATTTATTAATAAAATGAATTAGAAATAGCATTTTATTAATGACTAAATTTAAAAAACTATATATTAATTTTTTATACATATATTTTAAAAGATGATATTTATTCATTAATAAAATAATATCATATAATTTACTAACAATATATAAAATTTATATACTGATAATGTATAAAATATAAATTAAAAAAATTCTTTAATGGTTTTGATAATAAGCCTACTAACAACTTAATATTAAAAGTGTTCATTCGATCAATTTAATTAATTTTAAACTAAATTATTCAAAATTAAATTAATTTAATTATGTTATTTCATTTTCGTTAATTGAATATGTTAGTTTTGAAAATTAATCGACTAATCAGTTAAATTTTTTAGTTAATCAAATAATAAATAACTTTTAAGTTAAATTATATTTTAAACTTTTAATTTTTCATATTTAAAATAAATTAAATAAAATCATCTAATAAAATATTCAAATATCAAAATTTTAATTTAAAAACTCTAATAAATTTTAAAATAAAATAATTTATTTCATATATTTTTAGTATTATGAAAGTCAAAATTTTTTTTAAAATTAATTTCGATAACCAACTTAAATTAATTTAATAATCAATCAATTAATCAAATTAAATCAATTCACTTGATCAATTATATTAAAATCGAATTTTGAAACCCTTAATTATCATTGTGTTTGACAAATAAAATAACAGAAAAAATCATAACACATAAGGGAAAAAATTAGTAATACTTTTGAGTTGTTAACAACAACCTATAAAATTTAGACTACATATTAAATAAAGGATTTTGAACTTATTGCAAAAATATATTAATTGAAAAAAAAAAGCAAAAAAACAAAACCTTCTGCCCTTGGCAGTCAAATTGTGGAATTTGAAATTGAAAAAGGAACTGAGAAAAAAAAAAAATAGAACATGGGAAGGAGGAAAGAGGATGAGGTGCGGCTGAATTGGGGAAAAGGACACCAAACATTTAGCGTGCAATTTCAAACTCCAACAAGGCGCCATGTGTAACTGACGTGGAATGGGACCCAAGTGTCCCCTTCATTTCCGGTGGCTAACTACACATTTATTTCATTGTACCGATCCCTTTCCTCCATTTAAATATAATAATTTAAAATATAATATGATAATAAATATAAAATATAAAATATAAAAATAATATAATTTAAAATTTTAATAAAAATTATAAATTTATATTACATATTTTCATATTTATATAAATTATGATACATAATTTTTATATAAAAATATAATATAAATTTATAAATAATTAATATTTTACATTATATAAATAATATATCTAATCAGAGTAAAATCAATGATTATACATAACATTCCCCCTGGCCCGTATCAGATGGTCCATGTCCAAATCCTTGTCAAAACCCATTCCCTATCATCAATGCCATGCATTTATGCATGTCAAGCATGCATGGATGCATGGGGGCATTCTCACAATTCAACGTCATCACTCTTCCTCCTTTCTTAATTTGTTTTTATTTTTATATTGTGAGTGATCCTGACAGATCAATATCCATCTTTATTAGTTTTTTTTCTATTACAATTCATTATCTTCTTCTTATAATTTCCAAATTAGGTTATCCTAAATCCATTATCAATATTTTAAAATCTCTTAAGAATATATAATAGCCTACGTTATCACCCTTGAGGAGGCCACCCCTCAAAATCTTGTTAAATTTCTACAAATTTTTGCTGTGAACAAATTTAAGCGAGGTTTCTTCATTTCAAAATCAAAGTATATCATAGCAAAGACTTGCATTAAAATTAGAATATTGGTAAAAGCTTCTTTTGAGAAAGCTTCCTATAATAATTAACTTACATTTATTGGTAATTGCAGCTTGATTTAGAACACAAGTTTTGCAAATAGTCAATAGATAAGTAAGCAACCAAAGAAGATTCTGGTGACTTTGTTTTTTTTGGTTGGATTAGTCCAATAGCACTTGATTAAGGTCTCTGGAAGCTTATCATTTCTTGCACTTTAAAATTTAATCTGTTGGCTCACATGCACGAACTAGCTATTGGCCAATTGATTAATCAGTTTTTGACTTGCTTGAGCCATCATTCAATAGCATTTTTTTTTTAATTTTAAAATCTTTTTTCAACACTAACATAAATAATTAAAGTGTTGATAAAGCCAGTACAAAATTTAATTTGGTACTCAAAACTTAATTGAAATCAAAACGTAAAATTTTTAACATGCTTTTGATTCGATCTTTGTAACCAAATAAAACGGTGTAAACATCAAGGTTCCATCAAATTTGGTTGATAGTTAAATTTATTAATTTATATTATCGTATTATATAAAATATTATATTTATATCATATTTTATATAAAAATTATGTATGATAGTTTGTATTGATATAAAAATATAAAAAATAATTTTTTTTGATTTTTTTAAAAAATTTTAAACTATATTATTTATATATTATTTATTTATATTATTTTTATATTATGTTTTAAATTGTCAATAATAGAGATAGTAAATGAATGAGTTGGATCCAATCATTTCAAGTCAGGTTAATTATTTTAGTTCAAAAAAATTTTAATTATATCAAGTGCAATCATTTTATATTTAAGATTTAGGTCATTATTTTGGATTTAAACTATATGGCTTTGTTATTCGGATTATTTGGATGCAGATAATTATTTAGGGTTCAAATTATGTTTATATCTAAAAGCAAAACAAATTAAGTTAAGATCATTTTGAATTAAAGAAAACAAAAAAAAAAAAAATCTATGAGTGCAGTTAGGTACGTATGTGATTGAAACCCCGACCTCCTTATCTTACAGTCATGAGCCATGACATACAGGCTTACGAGGCTTCCACTTGGAACAGTGGCTCAAGATTGGTTTCATCACCCCAATGTGGCCTAATCAAGGGGGTCCATTGCCAATGCTAGTTGCAATCATCGCCAGCAAGAAAACTTGGTTCTTAGCTTGACAAACATATATATTACAGTGAAAAGCGGATACAATGGTTTTGGGTTTTTTCCATTCAAATCAAGTCTCTTCGTACTCAAATTAACCATCAATGATATTAAATTCTAGAAGAGCATCAATTTAAAGGAAATTTGATTATTAGACATATGTATTATCATGAAATGAAATAAATTTGACTTTTGTGTGTGGAAATGTAGAGCTTTGTGTGAAATATATATATATATATATACACGTATGTTAGGGGGTATTTGATGGTCAAAAAGGTATGTTGATATTTTTTTTTCTTAAAAGCTTTTAGTAGATAATTAGGGATATTTTTATCATTTGCATCGACCTGACATGTCAGGTTGGTCTGACATGCTCAGTATCATATCAGCTTGACACTGTCTTGTCCCCTGATGGTTTCCTATTGCTTATTTATAAATATAAAAGTCTAGGTACCATTAATGTAAGTTGATCCTATACCCATTTCTTCCTTCCTACTTCCTTCTCGACTTCATTCTATTTGAGCTACGCATTAGATTGTAAACGCAGGGAACACATCTTGTCTTTGCCTTTTACTACCCTTTTCTTTTGTTTTTCTAAGAACGTTCTGAGGTTAGAGCTCGGAACAAACATTTGACGCCCTAGGTA